ATTTACAGTAAAGCCTAATCTATTAGGGAAGTATAGGTGCTATATAATATTTAAAATTGGCATGATCGTATTGTACCTATCATCATATGTTTGAATTTGGACGATTCAATGTACGATATTATAATTATAGATAAACAAATATTAATAGAAAACAGCAAATTATTCTTGTGTTTTTTCTTTGAATTTTTAAAATGTAAACGCAAAATTAGTATCTTCTCAAAAGTTCAGTTATAATTAGGCAGGTGTTTTATTTAATATCATTGTTAAATAAACACAGATGCAGCCTTGCCTTATAAAAACGTTTAAAATTTCATCACAAAATTCTAAAAAATAGTATTGAAAAATAATTAATTATGAGATAACTCCTTTCAACTCTAACTTATTACTCTCTAGAATATGTAAGTACTTATATTTATAAGTGGCATTAAGAAACATAGGTTTCATTTGAACTACATAAGCAGACTTAATCAGGTCAGCCTCCAGTTCTATGTGCTCCATTAAAAGGCAGGGCCTATATAAAGTGGTAAAAGCATATTAAATGAAACTATCGTTTCGGATTATTTCGCGGATTTATTTCGATTTTTGGTAAAATCATAAATAAAATTTCAAATGCAGATGAAGCCGTGAGCAATAGCTAGTGATGTACATGAGAACATTGACCATCGATCCGTAATCCCAAACAAACGATACTGTCAGTTTAAACCAATATCGATATTGCCATTGCCAAAGATTGAATTACAGATATTACTTGTACAAATTGAGAGGAATTGGAAGGCCAAGTTTGGTTCAATATTGGCTACAGCTCAGGCTTCTGTACCGGAATTCTATGTTTATTGTGACGTACCTACTTAATTGTATATATAATAAAATAAATAAAACTGTAGCCTTTCATTTTACAGGGTTTTAGTAAATCCTTTTTAATGATAGGGTTGTAACTTTAAGGATGGTCAAAGTATCTAAACGGAAAATTCTCCACCTATTTATAGAAAAATTATTCATTTATAAATTCATGTTTAAAATGTACATAATTATGTATAATAAAGCCGATAGGTAGCACTAGAAAAATATATCTATATACCTTTGATATGTAGATAGTCGTCGTCGTCGTCGTCTCAGCCCAAACACGTCCACTGCTAGATAGTAAAAAGATCTTATTTTGACTTTACAAACAGACACTTCAAATTTATTTATTCGTTTAATATTCCTCAATGCATTGGTTATAAAAATTAAAAAAAAAAATTCGAATCCTACGAAAAGTTCCAAAGATTATCGTGTTCAAATAAACATAAAACAACGATGTCTTTAGGTTTATCTATACAGATAAATAAAATTAAAGTGTCTGTTTGTAATGTTAAAATAACAGCGTTTTACTAAATGCATATGAAATTATTTACGGTACTTATAAGAAAAACACATTTTTTTATATTTTTGTCTGTCTGTCTGTTTGTTCCGGGTAATCTTTGAAACGGCTGGATTGATTTTGACGGGACTTTTTATGGAAGATATCTGATGTTATAGGGAGTAACCTAGGCTACTTTTATTTTAGAAAGAGAATTAGGGATTTTGCTGAAAAAAATTAAAACGTACCTATCTAATAATATTAGTATAAAACAAAAATATTTCGCAATAAAACGCTAGGAACCATAAAAAGGAAGTAGTTTTAAGTTTTAACATTAAACTTTCATTGCACTTCGAACTAAATGATAGATCTCTCAAGCCACAACTTCGTCATATTTACAACGAGTGCTTTAAGCTCCTAAAGCGACCCTCGAGTAAAACGATAGCGACCTGTGAGTTCAGAATTCTAAAATAATATTCCGTTGTATTGAAAGACGTTACCAATGATTTTTTAATATTTGATGTTTTCTTTTAACTATTTACTATATACATAACTTGTAGGTTTGTTATGTTTTGTGTTTGTGGGTTTTTGTGTAATGGAAGTTCTCAGACTAAATAATTATGCCAAACAATGTCAAAGTCAAACATAGTAGCGAACTTTTCTGTTTATGCTACTATTCTCGATTTCGCCATTTATTTATTTATTTCTTGGTAATCTTACAGCGTTACAAAATTGTCGAAATACAGTTAGAGTACAAAGTTATTAATAAATATGACCAAATCTAGATTACTGTATTAGATATAATAGTATATGTATTAGACAACAGAGTACTCATATATTGAAAAAGAAAAAAGAAAAAAAAAGTCTGAATAAATTAAATTGATCATACTAATGATATGTCATACATACAGGTCGTTTATTTTCTTCAAAGTATAATTAGGGATATTTTTTTATAAAGGTAGTCGTTAATTTATAATGTTTGAGTAGAATATATTAATATTAAAAAAAATCTATATTCATTTGTATTTTTAAGGTTTAGTTATCTTTTCTCTCTTCCCCTTGAAAGAGAGGGAGAGAGAGTATGTAATGTTAGCTTATTTTTTTAAATTAGAATTAAAACCGTCAGCTATTTCTATTTATTAACATTTATTTACTTATCAAAGTAATGAATATTTGTATTTTGTTTTAAAACATTATATATTATTCTAAAACATTATAAAGAGACAGAGTATGTTTGTTTGTTTGAGCGTGCTAATCTCAGGATCTACTAATCATATTAAAAAAATGTTTTTTTTTTTTGCATTAGATAGCCCGTTTATAGGGGAAGGCTATAGGCTATATATCACCATGCTACTACCCAAGGGAGTGGAGCAGTAATCATGAATGTCAACAAATTGGGTAGACTTCCATACCTTATTGTAAAACTGATGTTTATAATAAAACAAATTTAGTGCGGGTGAAACCGCGGGGCACAGCTATATTTCATATTACTGCAAACATCGATTTTAGATATTCATACGTACATACATGACATATATACGAGTATATACTCTTTCATTTATTAATTACATAAGAAATCGAGTGATATTTATTTTAAAGTACTTGCAAGGGAAATAATATGAACAAATTGGTCATAGCAGGACTATTATAGTAATTAATGAAGGCTTCCCACGAGGGTGCGGCGTCGCAAGATAAGCTTTAAGCTGTGTGAAATTAAAATTTTGTATATCAAATATTCTGCAGACACAAGGCTCGTGGGACTCTGAATTGCTGTCATTCTAAAACCTTATGAAAATAATAAAGAAAGAGACAAAATTTAAAATGTTTTAAGTTTTTTTTGTCTATAGTAGACAACAAGTAGACCATACGTAATACGACGGTTATTAACAAGGTTATTCAGAGTTTTATAAAATCTAAAAGTATAATATGTATATAATATGTATATTCGCTATATATTTACTTATATTGTTGTAAATGTTTCGTCGAAATTGGTTTAGTCAAATATAGACTAGACTAAGGGATTGGAACTTACGTTTTTACGTTTAATAAAATATATCGTTACGTGTATGTTCACGTTGCACAATATATTAGGCATTTCTGATACCTTAGGTTCCATTATTGCAATCTTTCTGCAATCTCTAATTTTGTTGAAAATAAAATATGGCCCATGTTAATGTAGCTTTTGATAGGTGAAAGAATTTTTAAAATTGGTCCATTCTTTTTTTTTAGTTCAATTTGTATCCATTACAAACAAACATACAAAAAACAAATTATTTCTCTTTATAATATTAGTATAGGTATAAGTTAAACCAAATTAAGTATCGACTACTTTTTCGCATTTAAATGGTACTCGATACAAACCGAGGAAAGCATGGAACATTCTTGCTCTGAATTCTCAACGATTCTACTCTATACAAATAGGTGTACGTTAAATTTGGACTATATGTATGTTATATATGTATATGTTATATATGTATGTTATATACAAAAGATGACCTGAAAAGCTTTATTGAACACAGTCAACTAGAACCAGATACTCTCAATCTTACCTAACAGTTCATTACCGTATTCCCAAAACATACAAAACATGCATCTTACACGTGTCGTTACAAAATTTTGAATGGCCCATACAAATTATTTTAAAGCTGAAACCGAATTAAAGAACAAAATGCCTGTAGTGTTCAATCCATAAGGAAAATAGTATGGAATTACTTATGTTAACATCATTAAAGTCATTGTTATAAGGCTGAAAGGTTTTCCCATATATCGATACGCTTGTCGTTCTTGGTATCTTTCGGTTGTTTTGAAGTCGTTGAAATAGTGGTGCATAGCAACTTCATCACCGACTTCAAAAAAGAAGGTATGTATTGAACTCAAATGTACTTTTGTACATAGTAACGTGATATTATCACCAATTGTGATAAGATTTAAATTTTTTTTCTAACGAATTGATAACATGATAATTCTATATACGTCAAGAAAAATTGATGGTTGAGTAAATATAGTTAAAATATATAACGGTCAGTATAGATTTCTCAGAGATGAGATATTTTCCTGCAATAAATGCCAAATAAAATTCCGGATAACCAGCTATCATCACATAAAATTTCATGAAAATCTGTCCAGATGCGTTTCCAGACAGACAGACAGACAAAAATTCTAAAAACTATAGATTCGTAATCTGTATCGATAATAATAACTATTTCAGTAAGATTTTCCAAAAAATATTTAATGTACAGATTTGACTCAGAATTTTATTATATATTTAGTAAGTGGATATATGAAAAGTAGCGCAGCGTGTAATTAGAACCAGTTAGCTACAGCGGTTTTTAACGGACGTAGGACACGTAAAAATATGAACATATATCAAATTTCATTATACAAAAGTTACATAACTTGTACTGAATTTTCTCTAACATTTCGCTTTGAGTGTAACAAGTTCGACGTCATGTAATTTAATTAGCATCTCCGGTAGGATGTCTGAACACTTTCGTTCAGTTAGCATATTTATGTACACGAACAAAATACTCTTAAATCTTTTCGAAAATCAAACTCATTCAAACAACACTGTCGAGTGGACGTGGATTATTAAGAAAAAGTGAAATATATATATTATAATATGTACAAAACATTGTTTGTCCTGCTTTTGGGTTGTTGTTTAATGGTGACAGCTGTAGAAAATGAAATTGAAGGAAGAGGGAAAAAGAAAAAAATTGCTTTATTCAGTAAGTTTTTGACTTTCTACATATAAGAGATACCTATATGAATTATAATTTAGTAGTAATACTTCAATAATTCGTCTTACTTTTTTCTTTGCAAAATTGGTTTCCACGAAATACCTCACATACATACTAACAAACTTCTTTATAATACTAGTATAGATGTGTAAGCACTATTGATCATTTTATTATTCTATACGTATTTATTCTATTAGTGTGTATTCTAATGCTTTTATTTAAAAAAAACCGACTTCAAACAAAAGCACTAAAAAGGAAAAAATAACTGATTGGTAGTTTTCATTCACTATACATACCTAATCAAATATTTTCGAAGTTCCACCTATCCACCTTCTGGTCTTACCATCAGATCAGTTCAACAATACCGAACCACTGTACTATCAACAGAAATAGAAACACTTGTAAATATTCAACTCAATATGACAATTAGAAGTAGGTTAAATTCATCATTAGCTATTTTTCCACCCTTAGGGGAGGTATTTTTTTTTGTAATTTAAATGGGACCAATCTAGAAGTATACCCTTTCAAACAAAACAAAAATTGTCTAAATCGGTTAATAAATGACGGAGTTCTGAGGTAACAAACATAAAAAAAAATACAGTCGAATTGAAAACCTCCTCCTCTTTGAAGTCGGTTGAAAAATAGAATAAGTATTAGTTTTAGTATTTATTTTTTTAATTTATTTATATTTATCTATATTTTTTATTAATTAAAAATAAGTATTTATTAAATATATTTCTAATATACTTGAGTATTCTGAACGAAATAAGCTTCCCGACCAAATAAATATATTAGCCATTTAAATAATTTCCTCCGTCGCATCGTAGTTATTAAGTTTATACATTAATTTCACTAAAAGCATCTAAATCTTAAAATTAATCTTAAGGTCGAGGATACACTTCGAATGAACTAATTAAGTAATGCAATGTTAGTGCATTTATATTTAAACTAGCATATTGGCCTTGCTTCGTTTGGAATACGATAAGACATTGAAAATTATAATGTTACTAGCGACTCATCCTCGCTTCGCTCGGGTTCGTCCCTGGGGTGGGGTCTGGGAGGACCACCCTTATCCTTATCACTTAGGGGTATGGAAAATAGATAGTAGCCGATTCTCAGACCTACTGAATACGCATATAAAATTTTGTAAAAATCGGTAAAGCCGTTTCGGAGGAGTACGGTTACTAACATTGTGACATGGAAATTTTATATATTAGATTTTTTTGGTTATGTAGAAAAATAATAAGGCAGTGGTAGACCAATGGTAGTATTCTCGTTTAAAGTTCAAAACTAGGCTCTCGCGCCTTTGATATTCTCGTATGAGAATCATTTCCAACATGATTACCACTTGTCTTACGGTAAATGAAAATATCGTGATTAAACCTGCATGTCTGAGAGAATTTAGCAAGTTTTCGAAAGACATGTGAAGTCCGCTAACTTGTACTTGGCCAACGTGGTGGACTATGATCTGATCCCCCTCGTATTGAAAGAAGGCCGTGTCCAGTAGTAATTAATTTAAATATAAAATTAAGAATTAATTTAATATTTTTCCTTTTCAGTATACATCGCGGACTTAGTACTGAAGAAGTTCTTCATTTTAAAGCTAATATACGCCTTCGTGTTTTGGGTGGTCGTTCATAAAGCTGGCTACTTCTTAACTTGGTTCGTCAGCTATCTCAAAGATTACAAGTTAAAACACCATGAGCATTACGACCACCATGAGTACTATGTACCCCATCAACACTACGAGTATGGACCCCCAGGACCATACAGGAAAGAAAGTCATGGAATATATTAACTTAGTTAATAACTTCGGTAAACCTAATATTTTCTTATATTTCGTGAATATTTTACATTGAAAAAAACTATTTTTTCGGTTTTTTCGCGGACTTATTTTGGTTTTTGTTTCCCGATGTTTCAAATGCTTTACAGCAACTTTACAGCAAGTTTTGAACACGAACGTCGAGACGTGTTTCTCCCGTGAAAAATCCGAAAAGATAATTTTATTTAAAATTTAAGTAAAATTTTCAATGGGAAATCCCATATGGCTAACTGTTTGTATTGATAGAAAATGAAAAATTAAAATGTCCCATTTCACTAGATTGTAGTTACCCATAGGGCCGCCAGCATTCTTCATCTATACTTTTGTCAACAGCCATTTAACATGAATCTCGCATTGTATTTGATTTAATCTTCGTCATTTTTAAAGAATAGTTAAGATAGAAAATCCATTCCATTCATATAATAAAATTGTAACTGGGTCGAATCTGTACATAAAATATTTTATGGAAAATCTTATTGCAATAGTCACTATTATCGATACAAAGGCCGAATCTATAGTTTTTAGATTTTTTCTGTCTGTATGTCTGTTTGTTTGGAAACGTATCATGAGAAAACCACTGTCCAAATTTTGATGGTATGATGATAGCTGGATATCTGGGTCAACATATTATAGGATACTTTTTACTGAGGAAAAATATCTGAGCTCTGATAAATTAATACTAAACATTAAAATGGCTATAAAAATAACAATCTGTGTCCAAGATATGGTCTATTTACATATGCGTCAAGTTATATCCAAATCTGGTAATTAATTTACGTGTGTGACAAACATCCAAACAAATTTATAAAGTTTAATATACTATACAATATTAGTTGAATTTTATTTAGGTCTGGTAAAGATAAAGTTGGAAGTTAGATACGTGAACGATTGCAGTACTGTAGTGATATTCCGTAAGAACTTTTATCTAACTCGATATGAAAAGATGACAAGTATGTTGTATAAACTTTGTTCGTAGATTCAGTTATCGAGTTCAAAACCTCACCCATACTTATATTAGAAATATGAAAGTAATTCTGTCTGTTACTCAGTTTGTAGTGACCCTACTTGCTGTACCAGCGGTCGCGGATTCGAGTCCCGCTATGGGCATTTATATGTGTGATGAGCATATATTTATATTATGCATGTATTTAAAATTATATATGTATAATGTATACACTATCTGGTATCCATAACACAAGTCTCGTAGCTTACCATGGAATGATATATTCATTCATGGAATTATATATAGATGGTGCTGTGTGTTAATGTCTCAACATATTTATTTATTTATTATTTACCTTTTCACTTTTAAATCGCTGAACGGATTTTGATAAAATTTGGCAAGGATAGATTGCATCCTGAGGACAGACATAGACAGAGAAGCCGCAGGAAAAAGTAGCACATTTTGTGCTACTATTATACTCTACTATTATATAAGGATGAATAATTAACTACGATAGTTCATTAACACCTCCAGGTAAACTATGAAACTAATTAAATTTCTAAGAAATCTATTGTTAACTGACACGCTGTACTACTGTTGATGTATTTATTTATAACAAATTAATCCAAAGATATCTACTATTTATTTTCTAGATTTAAGTTTATTTATTTGTTAATATAAATATTTGTTTTAAATAAAATTATGTTAATTTATAATGAGCATGTATTATTTTGCAAGTCCTTCCCCCTCTTGAAACACTTGTCCATAATTCTAAATAGAGCCTTCAGCTCTGCTCGGTTGTAGCGAAAAAACCTCTGCTTTTTATGGAAGCGTACAGAACGCGTAGCCGAAGTAAATGTACTAAGGATATAGAAATAGGTTAAGTTATTTTATCTAACTTCACAAATAGCATTCGGGTTTATATTTTTTGTAACAACTTCGAATGTAAGCCAATTCTTGATAACTCAGATTTTCTTAGTATATATTATATATTGTAAGACAAATCTCGACTTAGAAATGCAATAATCACTTTAAAATGAGTTTGTAGCCAGTGCACTTCTTTATTTTAATAATAATTATTAATATGGACTATTACGTGTTTAGTTAAATTAGTTTTAAACAGTAATCCAAAACCCATAAATATTTGATTACTTTTCTCTCCTGTTCAAATCCCTAACCAAGATTTAAACCTTAATATAGCTTTGAAGTGCAAAACGGATATTTATAACCTTCATTTAAATATGTTAGTTAAATTTAACTGCTTATCTCGAGTTGGCGCATGATTGCATATTAAATAGCGAGAACGGCCAGCGAGTGCCATCTGCCGGTCACTATTTAGGATTTAATGCAACAGTTTTGTCCAGATTAGCTTAGCTTATATAGCTGTCTAGTTTTAGTCTAGACCGCCTTATTCGTTGTAATACTATTAAAAGCTTAGTTTAAGTGCTTGGATGTAGATTAATTAATTTGAGTACTAAAGGAAGGAATATATTGTATGGAAATATTTTACATGATAGCTCGTGAATTTTCTGAGATTTTTTTTTGACTAGGTTTTAAATATATATGTACTAATTATTATAGTTAACTTTAAGATAAATTTTTCCTCTCTCCTAGTATTTTCGTTCACGTGAAAGAAGGTCTTCAATGTTTGTATTATACACTTGTTACAGACAGTTATTCTTTCTGCCTGTGTTGTCTGTAACACACTTTAGAGACGACTAAAGCCTCTTCCGTGACAGTGATTGCTGTAAAGCGACATGTTGGGAATCAAAAATCAAAATAAATCCGTGACAAAATCCGAAAAGATAGTTTTATTTAAAATAAAAAGGATAGAGTACTGATTGACAGACAGAGGTCGCAAGCTTAGTTCTTACCAAAATGGTCATACACTCTGAATTCGACTTATACTCGTGAATATGTACTGTGTCTTTCTTATCTTAAAGAAACAAAGTTATACCTTCAGATAGATATAAGTTTTATGAAATAAATAATCCTCCGATCTGGACGTATTTTTTTTTCAAAATGTCTGATTTGTTCCAACTTATGAGATGGGAAAGTTTTATCTCGATTATTTCCTTTTTTATTGCAAAATTAACAATTTTCATATGTGTGCCACAGCGACGCGTGGTCTGGTCTGCTAGTTTATACATATACATATATAATAGCAACTTATCCTTGCTTCGCTCGGGTTCGTCCCTGGGTTGCTTCCCCATTTTACCCCTTAAGGGATGATTTCCGGGATAAAAACTATCCTATGTCTTCTTACCTATCTAAATCAGTTCAGTAGTTTCGGAGCCTATTCGGTACAAACAAATAAACAAACAAAAAATCAGATCTTTCTTCTTTATAATATTAGTATAGATTAATAACTTTTATAGGTACTTAATAACTTTTACGTAGACATAACATCAATATGCTAACTTAGCCATGTTAGTGTAAAATCCATATTATCTAGAACGTCTAAGACGATGTAGTGTAAGCTAACGAGAATGACCGCTGGCAACATCTGCTGGTACTTAGCACTTGGAGCTTAGGCAATTTTGTCTAAGTTTGTCTAAGCTTGGATTTATTGCCGACTAGTTTTAGATAGTGTTCATTTTTGTGTTAAAAGCTCCTGTTCTGTTTGTGTAAAAAAGGGCTATGTTTTAATAACCGAATTAAAAAAAAATTAAGGTATTGAATTTGAGTGTATTTCTTTGTACATGACATGTTACATATGACTCTTTGTTACAATTACTACGGATTAGTGATCAACCCTTGGTTGAGAATCGATTACAATTCATTCAATTAAGGTTTTTTAGACAAACATATGAGTACATAGATAGCCTGTAACTTTCCTTAATAAATAAACTATGAAATGGATGCTTTTACCAAATCAGATGCGAAATTTCAGCGTGCACGTGCAGACAAACAAAGAAATTTATTCAGATTTATATTCTATTAGAAGCAGAGTAAGTACTACAGCCATTAGAAGTAATTCATAAAATATATTATAAACTTTAACTATAACAAAGCTCATACTCCTTCGTAAATACTTTGGAATAAGCATGAACGAATTAGCCACAATACGTTCATGGGAATAAGTTTAAAGAGATGTCGAACAAGATTTTTTCTTTACTTCTATAATACAGGTCTAATGACATCTACTATAGAACAATTTATCAAGTTATTTGCTGTCTACAATAAAGCCTGAAAAAAACCAGAAAGATTAAAGAAACTATATAACTATATAACCTAGCAACTTAAGTACTAGCTTTATGGTAAAAAAATAGTAAATCTGTAAATGAAATATTTTTTAAAGACAAAAACTGTTACGTATTCTTTAAATAACGTAGACACCAAAACAATAGTTTTTTTTTAATTTTTTATCTCTTTGTTTACGTTTCTCTACAGGAAAACCTGTAATTCCCACGGGAAAACAAAATAACTCGTTCAGTCGAATACTATATAATATACTAGCAGAACCCGCGTCTTTGCTCGCGCTAAAACTATAAAATATCTCTAAATAGGTAGTTTCATACAAAATTTCATCCCCTATTTTACCCCCTTATATGATGAATTTCGAAAAATGCTAAAACACGTATTTATTTAATTTTATTGATGATTAATATCAAGTTTCAAGTAATTCTGATCATAAGTATTTTTTGGTTTGTATTATAACGTGTTTATAAAGTAGCCTATGTCACTCTCCAGCTCTCCAACTATCTTCACACAAATCACACCAATCCATCACTCGGTTTCGACGTGAAAAAACGACAAACAAACAAACAAACAAACACACTTTCACATTTATAATATTAGTATGAACTAGGCCTATAGAAGAGTCCGCAATAGCATATTATGTCTATTTCCTGAGGTACACTCGCAATAACTATTTTTATCTATTTAAAAGTACCTCCGCACCCGAACGAAGCGAGATTAATTGGCTAGTACACTCTAAAAAACATTACCCTTATTCGTTGGTAGTGAAGTTTAAAAGAGAATTTAAAGTTTTTTATTAGAAAAAACCTTATATCTGATGAAATGTGAA